ACCTCGCCGCAAATACACCTATATCTGGTGTGGATTGGGGCAGCAAGGCGGAGGGCCACAGCAATTCGGAGGGCGTGTGGTGTGAGACGCGTGCCAGTTGCCGACATTGGGGTTGCTAACAGGAAATCCCCTGCATGTGGTGCTGCTACTGCTGTGAGGCGAGCAATGTCGTGTTGTGTTGTTACAGCACCCAGGCACTCTGCAGCAACTTGGTCTACAATGGGACCATCCCAGCTGGATTGCTTGTGGGATTTTGGGGATGGTGGTCGAGGTGATTGGCCTGCACGAGAGGCCCACTCTGTGGCACAGCGTGTAAAATTGGGATCATGTACACCTGCCAGCTGATGTAAGTGGGCAGGTAGAATTTCCTTCACAAGGTCGTCGGATGCTGATAAGGAGGACAGGAAGGCTGGAACAGCGATTTGCGTTGCTGTTCGAACTCCGAGGCCCCCAAGTCTTACGGGAAGAGAGGCTTGTTTCCACTGTAGGTCATCGAGAGAGAGGTTAAGGGCTTTTTCTAGCATTGATTTCAGTAACCGGTCATACTCACTTAGTTTTTGGCTACTGTAAGATGGTGAACACCTCAGAAAGTAGGTTAACCTGGGGAGGGACAGACATCTGGTGATGAGGTAGAGTGCATCATGAGCATCAATATCCTCAATCCTCCCATCCATCCTCTTAAGGTCGGCGATTTTCTTATCAAGGACCTCATCGATGGCTTTCAACCCCAGGGGAGCTCCTAGGAGTGTGCTGTCTTCAGGTTTAGTTTTATGGATATTTGGCAGAAGACTTTCTATTCTCTCTACGATGCCCTGGTTGGAACATATTATTTCACATTTAGAAGGGTTCAGGGTGAGGCCTAACACTGCACCTTGCTCCTGGATTTTTCTGATGTCCTCCAGGAGGGAGTCTTGGGAACCAGCTAGGGTACCATCATCCAAGAACCAGATGTTAAGCTCGCTGGACAGGACCTCTGTGACTTGTTTGATGACTAAGCAGAAAAGGAGAGGAGCGAGGGGGTCACCCTGTTGGACGCCTTCTCGAGAGTCAATTTCATGTTCGCCAAAAAGTAGCTTAAGATCCATACTGTAGCATGAATGTACAAAAGGGTAGAGGGACGGGAAATGACGGGAAATATAGGTACTATATAATGTACCTATATATATATATATATATATATATATATATATATATATATATATATATGCGGAAAATCCACAGAGAAATATGAAATGAGGTGAACGTTTCGGCTTGTTAAAGCCTTTGTCAACACCAGACTGACTAAGAAGGGAGAAGGGGAGGATATATAGGCCGACACCTGACCAACCCATCCAACTTTGATTGAGTCTGCTCTAATCAGTCAGTGTCCAAATCTTCTTAATGTTAGTACTGGAATGTACAAACTTGATCCATTTTTAAGTTATAATATTGCACAACAGTTTAAGAAACAACTCTGATAGAGAGGCTTACAATGTCTCATTATAATTGTATATTCATATATTGTGTGTTCATGAGGCTTTTCTTTATTCTTTCATCCTTATTCTCTGACCGCTTAATCCTCTTTGACCATTCTAAGCTAAGTTATACCTGTTTTTGGTTAATTACACCTGACCAACCCTAGGGATGGGTTGGTCAGGTGTCGGCCTATATATCCTCCCCCTTCTCCCTTCTCCTTAGTCAGTCTGGTGTTGACAAAGGCTTTAACAAGCCGAAACGTTCACCTCATTTCATATTTCTCTGTGGATTTTCCGCATAAAATGATCAGTGTTTTGTGATCGTCAATTGCATATATATATATATATATATATATATATATATATATATATATATATATATATATATATATATATATATATATGTCGTACCTAGTAGCCAGAACGCACTTCTCAGCCTACTATGCAAGGCCCGATTTGCCTAATAAGCCAAGTTTTCATGAATTAATTGCATTTCGACTACCTAACCTAACCTAACCTAACTTTTTTGGCTACCTAACCTAACCTAACCTACAAAGATAGGTTTGGTTAGGTTAGGTAGGGTTGGTTAGGTTCGTTCATATATCTACGTTAATTTTAACTCCAATAAAATAAAATTGACCTCACACATAATAAAACGGGTAGCTTTATCATTTCATAAGAATTTTTTTTTTAGAAAATATATTAATTCAGGAAAACTTGGCTTATTAGGCAAATCGGGCCTTCTTGATATATATATATATATATATATATATATATATATATATATATATATATATATATATATATATATTAGTATATTTTGGTAGCAGTCTTTCCTGTAGACATATATTATTAAATATGACCGAAAAAGTAAGATTAATAATTCTAACACGAATTTTCTCAATCTTTCGTACATTTCTTTTCACTGCTGGTGGTAATTCAAAAATCAATTCTCCAAAATTCATTTTTATTTCTAGTCTGACGCGACACTTGAGCGCGTTTTGTAAAACTTATTACATTTTCAAAGACTTTAGTTTACACAAACACACACAACTTTAACTGAATAGAGCTTAAACATCTTTCGAGTTTTTATACCTACATTTGGGTGAAGTGACATGTTACAATAGTTTTGGATGAGGTGAAAATAAACTTTTAACACAAGACAGAACACGAAACAATGAAATACAAGCAGGTATTAAAAGTAGGTAACTGCAGAAGGCCTATTTTAATTGGCCCATATTTCTTGATGCTTCTATATTGGAGCGGAGTCTTGAAGTGGGTAGAATATAGTTGTGCATTAATTGGCTGTTGATTGCTGGTGTTGACTTCTTGATGTGTAGTGCCTCGCAGACGTCGAGCCGCCTGCTATTGCTGTATCTATCGATGATTTCTGTGTTGTTTGCTAAGATTTCTCTGGTGATGGTTTGGTTGTGGGAAGAGGCTATATGTTCCTTAATGGAGCCCTGTTGCTTATGCATCGTTAAACGCCTGGAAAGAGATGTTGTTGTCTTGCCTATATACTGAGTTTTTTGAGGCTTACAATCCTTAAGAGGGCATTTGAAGGCATAGACGACGTTGGTCTCTTTTAAAACGTTCTGCTTTGTGTCTGGAGAGTTTCTCATGAGTAGGCTGGCCGTTTTTTTGGTTTTATAGTAAATTGTCAGTTGTATCTTCTGATTTTTGTCTGTAGGGATAACGTTTCTACTGACAATACCTTTCTGGACCCTTTCCTCCGTTTTATGGGCTGTGGAAAAGAAGTTCCTGTAAAATAGTCTAATAGGGGGTATAGGTGTTGTGTTAGTTGTCTCTTCAGAGGTTGCATGGCGTTTCACTTTCCTTCTTATGATGTCTTCCACGAAACCATTGGAGAAGCCGTTGTTGACTAGGACCTGCCTTACCCTACAGAGTTCTTCATCGACTTGCTTCCATTCTGAGCTGTGGCTGAGAGCACGGTCGACATAAGCGTTAACAACACTCCTCTTGTACCTGTCCGGGCTGTCACTGTTGGCATTCAGGCACATTCCTATGTTTGTTTCCTTAGTGTAGACTGCACTAGTTTTCCACACTGCAGTCTACACTAAGGAAACAAACATAGGAATGTGCCTGAATGCCAACAGCGACTGCCCGGACAGGTAGAAGAGGAGTGTTGTTAACACTTATGTCGACCGTGCTCTCAGCCACAGCTCAGAATGGAAGCAAGTCGACGAAGAACTCTGTAGGGTAAGGCAGGTCCTAGTCAACAACGGCTTCTCCAATGGTTTCGTGGAAGACATCATAAGAAGGAAAGTGGAACGCCATGCAACCTCTGAAGAGACAACTAACACAACACCTATACCCCCTATTAGACTATTTTACAGGAACTTCTTTTCCACAGCTCATAAAACGGAGGAAAGGGTCCTGAAAGATATTGTCAGTAGAAACGTTATCCCTACAGACAAAAATCAGAAGATACAACTGACAATTTATTATAAAACCAAAAAAAACGGCCAGCCTACTCATGAGAAACTCTCCAGACCGTTTTAAAAGACACCAACGTCATCTATGCCTTCAAATGCCCTCTTGGGGATTGTAAGCCTAAAAAAACTCAGTATATAGGCAAGACAACAACATCTCTTTCCAGGCGTTTAACGATGCATAAGCAACAGGGCTCCATTAAGGAACATATAGCCTCTTCCCACAACCAAACCATCACCAGAGAAATCTTAGCAAACAACACAGAAATCATCGATAGATACAGTGATAGCAGGCGGCTCGACGTCTGCGAGGCACTACACATCAAGAAGTCAACACCAGCAATCAACAGCCAATTAATGCACAACTATATTCTACCCACTTCAAGACTCCGCTCCAATATAGAAGCATCAAGAAATATGGGCCAATAAAAATAGGCCTTCTGCAGTTACCTACTTTTAGTACCTGTTTGTATTTCATTGTTTCGTGTTCTGTCTTGTGTTAAAAGTTTATTTTCACCTCATCTAAAACTATTGTAACATGTCACTTCACCCAAATGTAGGTATAAAAACTGGAAAGATGTTTAAGCTCTATTCAGTGTGTGTTTGTGTAAACTAAAGTCTTTGAAAATGTAATAAGTTTTACGAAACGCGCTCAAGTGTCGTGTCAGACTAGAAATAAAAATGAATTTTGGAGAATTGATCTTTGAATTACCATCAACAGTGAAAAGAAACGTAAGAAAGATCGAGAAAATTCGTGTTAGAATTATTAATCTTACTTTTTCGGTCATATTTAATAATATATATATATATATATATGTGTGTGTGTGTGTATGTGTACGATGGTCCACATAGTTACAAAAAGTACAATCTTAACAGGTTTATGGTTTGGGACTGGCCAGCCAGACTGCACATGATATTTTGTATAATTTAATTTCTCATGTCAAATGGCATTGATAGTTTTGCATTATTTTGATCAATATAATGTATTAGACAATGTTTAAGTACCAGGCTTTCTTCAAAAGTACTTACCTATAACTGACTACGGAGGAGTGAGCTCTAGCTCTTCATGCCCCGCCTAACAGCCTTGTTATACCTGTTGCGTTATAACTATTCCGATATTCAAATTGTTTGTTGAATCTGGCCTTAAAGCTGTGAATGGAGGTGGCTTCCACACCTTCTTCCTGCGCCTTCCACTTGTTGACCAGCCGTACAGGGTGCCAGAAGTGTCCTGCGGTGTTGTCTCCTGTGTTCTTCTCATACTAGTAAGAATATTTTCCTTGTACATGGGGATACGAGCCTGTTGTGGTGCGCGTGTACCCTTGTCCTGGTGGCCCCTTCCAACACAGGAACAGGTTCACAATTCGTCCCGCAGATCTAGAAATCTGGTTAAGCGACATTGATGTGACATTGAATCAGCGTTGATGAATTGTTGATCCAACGCTAACGTTGATCCTCTGTTTATTTCACGTTGAACCTACGTTGATTTAATTAACGTCATTTAGGCATATGAATATGAAGAGGGCATTCAGAGGGCATAATATCCAAGTGCAGCGTCAGTTAAACGTTTGACAGCGTTGAATCAACGTTGAACTAGCGTTGCTCTGAGATAATGTGGCCGCTGAACTTTGTGTCTTCCATAAAGCAGCAACATATTATTTTCTGTATGTAAAAAAATATCTATTACCTTCAGTCATGCTGTACTGAAGATGACAGTAGATAACACGAAGACAAGGAGAAACCAAAACAAATAAAGGAAGGTAAATATGTAATCGGACCGAGCGAAGAAATAAGTGACTATCGTTGGCGCCATGATGTCGAGGGCAAAACAAACAAGCAGAGGAATGCGCATATCTTTTTTTTTTCGTATGACGTCTTCTACAGCCAGCGTCCGTCGTCATTAGGAATAATTTAACATGCTTAAATTTAGTTCAGTTGCCGCCTACAGAGTTTTGTTTTACAGTATAGTCTAGGGAAGGGGCGAACTTTGTCGTAAATAGTCGAGATAAAACAGCAGGTTCTAGCGTCGATCGAAATGAGGTAAACATGAGAGTATTGTTTGATCTGCCTCTGTCTCTTTGTTTCTCTGTTTGTATTGGTCTCTCCTTGAATGACAAAGGTTCCGGTTGATGGTATTCTTGATTTTATCTTGCTCATGAATTAATGAACCATGTATTAACTCTGCCTTCTGATATTATTGTCAATCTCGTTAAGCTGTGTATAAAAGAATTTAAATTTGCTTTTAGCAATGAGTATTATTTATAGACTTTTGGAATGGCAATGGGGGTGTTCTTTATCGCCATTGCTTTCAAACTTATACATGGAATTTTTCGATAAGAAATTTGTTTAAAAATTTACCCCTGGAATCATTCCATGGTTTAGATAAGTTGATTTTTGCGTATATGGCCAACAAATGTAAATTCAGACGAATTTGTAGCTAAACTTAATGATCAAGTCACCTTAATGATCAAGTCACCATCAAATTTACTATAGAGACTGAAATTGATAAATGTTTGCCATTCATAGATATGTTTATTCATAGGAGAGATTCTTCACTAAAGATTAGTGTTTACAAAAAGCCTACGAATAATTTATCTTATGTTCATTATTTCTCAGGGCAGAGATACAAGGTAAAACAATATTTTTTTCCTCTGTGTATCTATAAGAGCTCTTCGAGTTGTTAGTCCTGAATTCTTGGATGAAGAGTTTAAGAATATTGACTCTATTGGTCTCAAGCTTTGTTATCTACTGAGTTTTTTAGAAGTTTGCCGTAGCAAAGCACGTCGTACATGTTATAATAATATATGATATAATAATATATAATATAATAATATATAATATATAAATATAATAATATAATATAATAATAATAATAATAATTATAATAATATATGCAGTGAAAAAAAAATCGCCCCAAAAATGTGTTGTTTACCATATTTTTTCTGGGTTTGAAAATATTGTCAAGGCCTTGAATCTTTTTGATATACAGGTATTGTTTAATTACGAAAATATTGTTGGAAAACTATAAGTTAGAAACACTCCTCGTTGTGATAATTGTGTCATATACAAAATACCTTGTAAAGATTGTAATAGGTTCTATGTTGGCCAAACATCTAAAGATTTAAAATTTAGAATTTCGCAACACAAATACTTTGTAAGACATGGCCAATTGTCTAATGCTTTGTTTGTTCACTTGTCAGAAAATTCTCACCAATTTGACTGGAAGATGACTTCTTCAATAACGAATTGTAAAAAGCATTTTCAAAAGGAACATAATTAAATCTGCTTTAATACAGATTACAAAATCATGTAATTTGAACATTAACAGTGGTTTGTATAATTAAATCCATTTATTATTGATCAGTTAACGGGCGATTTGAAAAGGATCATTGATACACATTTATCTCACTAATACCTTAATCTCATTAAAGACATTGTACCTCACTTCTTTCCTGCCTATATATCCAACCTACTGATCTGTAAATCCATCCTTCTGAAGATGTATTGTTAAATACGAAAATACTTAAAGAAATTCCTGTCCTAATCCTTCCTTCGTGGTCTGACACTGTTATATATATATATATATATATATATATATATATATATATATATATATATATATATATATATATATATATATATATATATATATCTTTGAAGAACTCTTCTAAGAACTCTTTGACCCGGCCAGGATTCGAACCCATGCCGTCCAGGATCACCCCTAAACGTACACAGTACCGTGACCACCGCACCAATGATCGTCATAAGGATTGGTCAGTCTTGGCGCTTATTTATTTATTTATTTTTTTTTTTTTGAGATATATACAAGAGTTGTTACATTCTTGTACAGCCACTAGTACGCGTAGCGTTTCGGGCAAGTCCTTAATCCTATGGTCCCTGGAATACGATCCCCTGCCGCGAAGAATCGTTTTTTCATCCAAGTACACATTTTACTGTTGCGTTAAACAGAGGCTACAGTTAAGGAATTGCGCCCAGTAAATCCTCCCGGGCCAGGATACGAACCCATGACATAGCGCTCGCGGAACGCCAGGCGAGTGTCTTACCACTACACCACGGAGACTGTGAGACTATTAACTAAGCTCCCTGACTGACCAACCCCCGACGACACTCATGAATCCATTTGGGTTCAGTTTTTCATCAAATTCTGGCGCATGCACGGGCCGCACTGAGTCTAACATGTGTGAGAAAGCTGCATGAACGCGCAAGCCATATATCACTAAGAACTCTTTGACCCGGCCAGGATTCGAACCCATGCCGTCCAGGATCATGCCGGCCAGAATCCTGGCCGGGTCAAAGAGTTCTTAGTGATATATGGCTTGCGCGTTCATGCAGCTTTCTCATATATATATATATATATATATATATATATATATATATATATATATATATATATATATATATATATATATATATATATATATATATATATATATATGAGAAAGAAATCTATTTACTAGAAATCCTAGTAAACAACACAGAAATCATCGATAGATACAGCGATAGCAGGCGGCTTGACGTTTGCGAGGCACTACACATCAAGAAGTCAACACCAGCAATCAACAGCCAATTATTGCACAACTATATTCTACCCACCTCAAGACTCCGCTCCAATATAGAAGCATCAAGAAATATGGACCAATAGGCTTTCTACAAACACTTCTATTCAATACCCATTGTTTCTGTTCTGTCTTGTGTTGATACTTTTAATACCCTATTAATATCCCCTCCTGTTCTGTCTTGTGTTAATGCCACATCACCCTTCCCACCTCACTCAAATGTAGATATAAAATCAGAGATACGTTCTAATCAGTTGTGTATTTGTGAAGTCTTTGAAAATGAAATAAGTTTTACGAAACGCGCCCGTGTCGCGTCAGACTAGAAATAAAAATGAATTTTGGAGAAGTGATTTTTGATTTACCTCCAACAGTGAAGCGTAATGTACGAAAGATTGAGAAAATTCGTGTTAGAATTATTAATCTTACTTTTTCGGTCATATTTAATAATATATGTCTACAGGAAAGACTGCTACCAAAATATACTAATATATATATATATATATATATATATATATATATATATATATATATATATATATATATATATATATATATATATATATATATATATATATATATATATATATATATATTAAATATGACCGAAAAAGTAAGATTAATAATTCTAACACGAATTTTCTCAATATTTCTTATATTTCTTTTCACTGTTGATGGTAACTGAAAAATCAATTCTCCAAAATTCATTTTTATTTCTAGTCTGACGCGACACTTGAACGCGTTTTGTAATAACTTATTACATTTTCAAAGACCTTAGTTTACACACACACAACAATAACTAAACAGAGCTTAAACAGCTTCGATTTTATACCTGCATTTGGGTGAGGTGATATGTTACAACAGTTTTGGATGAGGTGAAAACAAACTTTCAACATAAGACAGAACACGAAACAATGGGTATAATATATTGTAAGTTAAAGGGAAGAATGGAAGTAACTGCAAAGGGCCTATTGGCCCATATTTCTTGATGCTTCTATATTGGTACGGAGTCTTGAAGTGGGTAGAATATAGTTGTGCATTAATTGGCTGTTGATTGCTGGTGTTGACTTCTTGATGTGTAGTGCCTCGCAGATGTCAAGCCGCCTGCTATCGCTGTATCTATCGATGATTTCCGTGTTTTTTGTTAAGACTTCTCTGGTGATGGTCTGGTTGTGGGAAGAGATTATATGTTCCTTAATGGAGCCCTGTTGCTTATGCATCGTTAATCGCCTGTTGCTTATGCATCGTTAATCTTGGCACGTTAATCGTGCCAAGAAGACCGAATAACAAACTCTTGTACACGAGTATCAACTAGAAGTTCCCCATGGAGCCAACAAAAATGACTTGCGCAATTTAATATTGGATCACCTCTTAGATGAAGGGAAGATTGACTCTGAAACTCACGAAAATTATTCTATTGCAGATAGACATGCTCTGGCAACTATGAAACTCAAGCTCGAACTTGCAAAGATCGAGCGGGAGCAACAAAAAGAAGCTCTACAAATGAGAGAAAGTGAGGCAGCCCTAAAGAAAAAACAACAAGAACGCGAGGTGGCCCTAAAGGAACGCGAGATGGCCCTAAAGAAAGAAGAGACGGCCCTACATCAAGAGCGTGAGCGAGTACAGCTTGAAGCAAGACAACGTCACCTGGAGATGCAACGCGAGCATGATAAGAAGCAAGCCGATATGGCTATAGCATGTCGTCAACAAGAAC